ATGTGTGCATTAGAAAGCCACCAAATGATAAAGGATTAAGAAGCAGGATGCTCTTATCCTTTTGTGGCCCCTTAACAACTTGGCTGCACCATCCACCCAAATGTTGCCTTTTGTATAGGGAAGGTCTTTATCTATCATGGGGCAGGCTGCCCACCATTTCTCCTGTGCGTTTGCTCATGTAGTTTCACAAGGGGTGGTTTTCCTTCTTTCCTCCATCTATCTACACTCTTCAGCATACATCCTTCAAGCCCCAGTTGCTAAAATATGTCTTCTAAATTTTGTTTCTTCCTTTCATAGAAAATTTAAAGCACAGGCTGTTACCCCCAATTAGATGGAATGTGGTATAGCATGCTGCCGTTTGTCCATAGTAGTGCTGTCACCACCTTGTTTCATGTCTCCTGGTCAATTGTAAGTTACTTGAGGGCAGGGATAGATTCTTATCTGTATTTGTTTTCCTCAGAGGGCCCAGCACAGTGATTGCCATAGGGAAATATCTGAGAGGAACAATAAGTATATGAAAGATAATAATATCCATGAAAATTTTACTTGGACTGATGTGGATTGGAACTATCTAAATATATAAAAGCCTAAGTGACTGAATGACCAGTTGCTATGATGTGCACTGACCACCAGGGGGCAGATACTCAACACAGGAGCTCCCACATAGGAATGTTGCTCAGCTGACTCACCTGGCCCAGCCAGGCAGCAGCCACTCACTCCCTCAGTAGTCCTGCAGGTCCAATCTCCGGAGAACGGAGAACGGGCCAGGCACCAAACAATCCGGACAGTGCTGCTGGCCTCCTGGAAGTTGGCCTCCGGCACTGCGGCTGGCCACTTCCCCTCCCTAGACACTCCACAAGGAAGAAACAATATAAAAGTGGCCGTCAGGTGGCTCCTAACAACCAGCTTGAATGTCAGCAGGACAGGGATCCTAGGCTGCAAGGGTGTCCCACCGCCTGCCCAGGGGGCTAATCGTGTCCCGGCCCCACCCCCACCTCCCTTGGGGCCCCACTGTGCATGAATTTGTGCACCGGGCCTCTAGTGTTAATTTAATAAAAGATGTACATATGAGTGGACTTTCTGGGAGTGAGTGTTTAACCCAGGAGACTTATGAAGTTGTCACTGCATGACTGGCAGCCTTTCAGAAGACAAGAGACCCTGATCCAATCTCTGTAGAAACTATTAGATGCCGCAGGGCCTAATGACTTAACTTTAAGCAGAGTCCCAGAACAGAGGAAGGAATACCTTCCAAGACACAGGGCTGGCCTCTCCTCTGTCCCCTTAGGGGAGGGCACAGGCTATGCTCTGGGCCAGTGAGAAGGCCTTATGTGCTGGGGGAATGGGGATAAGGGGTGGGCTGGTAAGAGCACAGACCCCACGACAAAATCTCAGTGGTTAAGGGAGCACAGGAGCAGAGGAGGTCTTACCTGGCACAGCCAGCTCAGGTCCCAGGGCCCTTAGCTATCTCACGCCAGTCCAGATCAGTAGCCAGGCTGTACTTTGCCTTGATCAAGGAAGGAAGAAAAATGGCCTGGCTCTTAGAGAAGACCCCACTTCTCCCAAGTCTGGCAGGAGCGTGACTTCAGTTTCCTTCTGTTCTGAGCTCTTCCCTGTAGGCGTCTGGAGGGAACACACAGATGGGTCGGCTGATAGACTGGCTGAGCTGGGGGAGGGAAGCCTGTGGTGTATGTGGTTCCCCGTCCAGCCATCATCATCTTCAGAATTCTGCCACATGAAAGGCACTGGGCTTTCTGTCTTTTTTAAAATATATTTTTATTGATTTCAGAGAGGAAGGAAGAGGGAGAGAGGGATAGAAACATCATTGATAAGAGAGAATCATTGATCGGCTGTCTCCTGCATGCCCCACACTGGGGATTGAGTCCGCAACCCAGGCATGTGCCCTGACTGGGAATCAAACCATGACTTCCTGGTTCATAGGTCAATGGTCAACCACTGAGCCACCTTGGCTGGGCAAGGCACTGGGCTTTCTTGTTTCTCATCCCCCTCCCCCCCGCCACCTCTGACCATTGGTGGTACTCTTCCTCTAGAAAAGCCCTCCTCCCTGGGCAGTAGCCTCTGGTGACTGTATTTCCACCTTCTTTTTTAAAAATTTTATTTTAGCCCTAACCAATTTGGTTCAGTGGATAGAGCGTCGGCCTGCAGACTCAGGGGTCCCAGGTTCGATTCCGGTCAAGGGGTCAAGGACATGTACCTTGGTTGTGGGCACATCCCCAGTGGGGGGTGTGCAGGAGGCAGCTGATCGATGTTTCTCTCTAATGTGTTTTTTTTTAATTTCAGAGAGGGGAAGGGAGGGGGAGAGAGATAGAAACATTGATGAAAGAGAAACATCAATCAACTGCCTCCTGCATGCCCCTTACTGGGGATGGAGCCCACAATCCAGGCATGTGCTCTGACCAGGAATTCAGCTGGTGACCTACTGGTGCATGGGATGACACTCAACCAACTGGGCCATACCAGCTGAGCTAACCCTAACTCTTAATGCCTTAGCATCCTCCCACAACCTGCAACTCCTCCCTCTTTATACCCAGCCACTCAGTTGCCAAGTCCCATCTATTCTGACTCTCATACCCATGCTGTTTCTACTTTCCCACTGCTATCTGTCTCAGGATGGTCCTTCACTGCCCTTCAGATGTAACACTTGTAATTGGTTCCTACAGTCAGGTCCTCAGGCCTTGCCTCTGCTGCTCTAATCCATATACACCTCTCCCAGCCTCTTTTTCCCAAAGAGCATCCGTCTTTTTTTTTTTAAATATATATTATTGATTTTTTACAGAGAGGAAGGGAGAGGGATAGAGAGTTAGAAACATCGATCAGCTGCCTCCTGCACACCCCCTACTGGGGATGTGCCCACAACCAAGGTACATATCCTTGACCGGAATCGACCCTGGGACCCCTGAGTCTGCAGGCCGACGCTCTATCCACTGCACCAAACTGGTCAGGGCAAGACTGACCATCTTATTGCCTACAGCACTAACTCCTTTGCCAGCATTTAAGGTCCTTTGTAATAGGGTTTCAAACCTTTTCCATGTTCCTCTCTTACCCTCCCCTTCATGTCTCTGAAGTTTCAATTAAACTGCAGAACCATCTGGTCTCTTAATGGGCCCAGTGTGTTTTCCTGCATTTTAACATTTGAACTGTCTTTGTTCATGGTCCCCAGAGATTAGAGCTGGCTTACTCTACTATAACCAGGTAATTTCTCTGGCCCTTTCACCACAGCCACTGCCCACGGCCCTGCTCATTGTGTTGCCTACATTTCTTCTACTGTTCCTCTTCCTCTCCCTGCCCCCCCCCCCCTTCCTTACTGGAAAGGGAACCTCAGATGCAAAGGTTGATAAAATCATTAAATATCAAGAAGACATGAGTGGAATCCCAGCTCTGCTTACTGACCTCTCAGACAGGTTACTTAAACTCTGTTTCTTCCACAGTAAAAACAGGTACTAACGCCTTATATAGTCATTAAAGAATTAACAGATAGAGTGGATAAAGTCCTAAGGATAGTGGTACTATCATATTATCTCATGCTGGGCTGGTCTCACTCGGCCCTCTGCAGCTGTAAGGACTAAGAAGACAGACATCTCCTTCCTCTTTCCATTAAGTTCTGGGAACCTGAGTGGGGTGAGGCGGAGGCCTGGCCCCTGGGTGCTCAGGTAACTGTACTGCATGTGTAAGTCTGAGGGGAGCTGCTGCCTCTGTTCCCTTTGTTCAAACTCGTGGCTCAGGCAGCAGCAGGCGTGGGCGTCAGCAGGGAAGGCACTGACAGCTTCAGTTCTCACCGGGCTTTGCAGGTGACAGCTGGGGTGGCGGAGCCCTGTCGGGGGAGGTTCAGGCTGACCCCGTCCTGACCCAGCTGGTGGGCCTCTCTGGTGGGTGTGGGCCTCACCTGGAACCAGTCCAGGGCATAGCTGAAAGTAGCTCTGGGAGCTCACTGTAGCCTCCAGCCCGCTTCTTGCAGGATAAGGTAGGGTCAAGAGATGGGTACTTGGTGGTACTACGTGTCACTAAGGTACTAAATTACTTCTGGCAGATAAATTACTTCTAGCTCCTCTCCAGGCCTGTTTCTTCAACGGCAAGGCAACGGCACGAGTTAGACCCGATCATCTGTAAGGGGCTGTGGTCACCGGTCACGGACTACATCAGGACTCAGTCAGTTCCGAGGCCTCCCTACAGAGTTAGGTTCCTTGCTCCTTCGGGCCTGAGTTTTCTTGTCTGTAACAGACAAGAGTTTCCCACATCCATCCCTTCTGTGGGGGCGTTGAAAACAAAGTCAAAGTGAACAGGTGCAGTAGAAAAATTCTTTATTCAAAAGGGAAGGGTGGACCCTTGCTGGTACTTCCTGGGCCCTGGCCAGAGGGGAGTTACCACCCCGCTCAGCTCCTCACGCTGGCATCTGAAGGCAAAAGTCTGTCCACACCTTACCTTTAAGAGCCTTAAAGGGGAAGTGCCGTGGTGTAGTGATAAATCACAAAATCAGTTCTCAAAAAATAGCACTACCAGGCCCTTGCCTTTAAGAACTTCTTAAAGGCAAAGTGGACAAGTGCAGCAGATAAGAGCCAGAACGTTATAGGAAAAGCTCCAAGAAGGGTCTCCGTGTCTTTACCTTTAAGAATCTCTTAAAGGTGAGGCATATTCGTGCACAGTACAAAGGTGGAAAACCCTGTAAAAGAGTCTCCCAAGCACTTTTCCAGTTCTCGGTTTTAGGGTCTCTACCGGAGAGGTGGTAAAGCGCGAAGTAATGAACAAAATACCGTACCTTGCAGAACGATTTTCCTTCCTGCCCGCCGGCGCGCCCGCCCTCGGGTCTGAGCACTGCCTCCTGCGCCCGGGGGCGGAGGGGTATTTCAGAGACCGCCCCTCCCCCCCTAACCGTGGTCACACCGGGGCGTCCTGGGAGTTTTTGGTTTCCTAGTCTACATCTCCCCCCCACCCCCGCCCCCAGCCTTGGCTGTCTTCACAAAGGA